GGTGGCCGTGCTTTGTTGGGGCGTCTGTTAGTTAACAAGCCTGTGAGAGCCGTTCTGACGGAAGGGGAAAAAGGAGACACTAGAGCAGCCAATAGGTCAAACCTGGCGGGCGTCGTGAGGACATTGAGGCAGCTGCCACAATATATCTCCGATCATACACTCGAGTATCGCGGGAAACGTCAGAGGAGGTCGGCTTATTTTTTCATTCCTCACTTGATGTGTCGTAGTCCTGCCTTTCTTCCTTGGGGGGTCGCCGCACCTGGTGTGGGTGATCGCTGGCTTACTGCGGTCAAGAAACCAAAAAAGGTTGATAACAATATACGTTATCTTTGTCTGTAACGTATTTCTCTCTATTAGTATCAGTTTATTGAGGGATATGTAGGTAAATTGCTTCAAGTTCCCTGTTTGGAATTTGGAATTTATATTTGTACATGTGTCGTGGTAACAGAATATAATATATGCTAGCCGTTGAGCTGTTGCTGGTAGAGTACGAGGTCCAACGGTAGGATACAAGGGGACGAGTGAGTTCCGTAACCGATGAGCGCGTGTCTACCATTATATTTAAAAATCGGTATCCAAAGATCTATAATTTAAAAAAGCGACGTTTTTGGACGAAATAACATGAATTGCATACAGTTTCACGGCTGCTTCCCCAGGTTCTCGTCAACCAAATGAGTAATGTACACTTTTTTTCGTCGAAGCATTTAGAAGTAACAATTCAAAGGAAAAGGCATTTTCAGAGCTGCGAGCACTTAACGCCAAAACTAACGAAATGTTGAACCCTCTTATATGCAAATGCTGCATCTGAGCTCGTCAAAAGAGAGTGTCCAGGCCTACACCTACTTTGCAACCCCAGTTTCTACACTCTAACAGCAGGGTTGGCCATTTCAGCAGAAAATAAATCGTCTACAAAATAAGGTATACCAAATGTGATACACTTTATTGTGGCTAAACCAAGAAGTCCCTACCCAAACGTACACATGGATACAAGTTAGTGGAGATGAGACGAGAGCACTTTTCCCAGGTTACCATAAACACACTGGAGAGCGAACACATATTAGCATGGGAAAAGACCAAAATGGTTGGCGTCAGCTCAACTATGACGAGGCAATGCAGTCAGACGAAGCGTGCATTAGCTTACATATCTATTTGGATGCCAACTTCTTAACATAAACAACAGCCACTACTGAGTGGATAATTAAATGCAGGGTACGATTACCGACTTACACTCTAGCCAATCATAGGATCATATCCAATCCCAGGGGTTGCTACTTCCGGGGCTCAAGTCCGCAAACTTTTGAGGTGTGAACGACGAAGCCAAGGGAGACCGGAATGGCCATTTCTGGCTTCGTAGCTGTCGTCAGCCAGTTATACCAAATCCCAGGTAGGTATCACTCGGTCTCTCATGTCTTTGTCGGTTGCACTCCATCAAATGTCTGAAGTCGCTAAGCGACTGTCTGTGTCTGATCTAGAGCAAGCCCCCAGAAACAACAGGACAAGTATGTTCTCTAAGCAGATAGATCGGATGGGCACTATACTTCCATCATATTCCCGATCGCAACCGCCAAAGCAACAAGCCCATGGTGCAGTAGTAGAGGGTTAAATTTAATTAAAAAAGGTACGGGGTTCGAATCCCGGGTGATCCACAGCTTAGATAAGGTATCACTGGCTCATGACGGCTAATAAACCCGAAATGACCATTCTGGTCTCCCTTGTCTTTGTCTGTCCTACTCCATATGTATAGCTGAGAGGGACGACGGCGTTTAAGGGGCAATTTGATAAAGAACTGTGTCGGGCTTACATATTTGCCCTCATACCCCGTTTGTGGTGACAGTGAATGGCAGGTGGCAAGGCATTAATGAACTGCGTTTCGATGAAGTGCTTATGATCCATCTGGTAGACGTCAG